ATCTTGACCCGTGCCACAAAGGCCCGTACCTATCCGAAACCAACCCGTACCGATCCGAACCATTTTTCTTATAGGGAATAAGCTAACAAATCAAAATAAATAAGAGTTATGAATCACTGATTTCGAAATAAATACATCACTAATTTAATTCGAAATCAGAAATCTGAACCTTAATTCCGAATCACCCTAATATAGAGATATAAACTGTGAATTACAGTACATATAAATAAGCTGTAGTTGATTTTAAAACTACAGTTTTTACAGTTTATTTTTATATAACTGATAGTTTACGGATACCCTAATATTAATAATAATATATTTTTTTATAAAACATACGTGCATACGTACGTATTCACACTACCGGATCAACATAAATTCCATTTTACTTACAACATGCTAATATACGTAAATACTCACACTAGATAGTTTTTAGAAATATATATTTGGTAGTGCCCTAGTGAAATATGATTGATCGATCAGAATATTAGAAACTGTAAAATGATTATATTTCAAAATAATGATGAATAATGATGACAACAAATTAATTTATTTTAATTTATAAAATACAGTAAAGGCATACAGTCGTCCTCCTCTACAGTCACCTCCTATATAGTCACATCTCTTTATAAGTACATTTTTTGAAAAATTATTGGCAATTTATTTATTTAAAAAAACTTATACAATCACACTACTATTAAAATTTAATAATTACATCTTTTTTTTATGTAAACAAACCACGTGATTAGAGGAGGACGACTGTAAATCACAAGAAAATGCAAACTTTAAGAAGCTATATTGCAAAATTTTATTAACACAACTACTTTTGTGTCTTAAGTGAAAACCGATCCTAATCTTATTTTAAATTGATTTATGTAAAAAAACATCTTTTGAAAAAATTGTCAAATTATATTGATTCTTATTAAATAATTGGATCGGCTATAGCCGGCTATTAGTCGCATAAACCGATCGATAGTTGACCGTAGTCAACCCTATTTCCGACATGCGATAAACACAGCCGTTTATATATTTTTTAGTACCTGAAACAGAGAGGATATTTATCGAAAATTTAGGCATTCAAATATTTAATATAAAACGATTATATACCTTGAATCAATTTCAAAATATTTAATTGTTTGTAATAACGATTAAAACAATTGTACAGAAATGAGAATTGATTATAATTCTATTAGCGATTAAACCGATTATTATAGAATCGATTTACAGCTCTAATTGTAATTATGACAGTAAAATTATCAAGCATGTAGTCTAGACATGAGATTGAAGAGGATTTCGGCAATATAATTAAAACAAGCATACATGAAGCATAGTGCGATGGTTAGAATAGAATGTAGCAAATAGTTGGAACAAAAATAGCTTATACCATGACATAGCATAGTAATTAGAATAGAACGTAGCATGATAGTTACCGTATTTCTCCGACACATGTACCTGGGGTACTTGTGTAGGGGGATATACTATACGAATACCTTTATGTTTTTAATTTGTTATACTATTATATGCCTGGGTACATAATAGAGTTGGCCCCGAAACCCTTTGTGCTAAAATCTGAAAGTTTCGGGTTTCGGATTATAGCTTCCGAAACCTTATCTGAAACCCCGAAACCTTACCCGAAACCCGAAACCTTACCCGAAACCCAAAACCTCATCCGAAACCCCGAAACTGCAAAACATTAATTTTCATATAGTACAGTCGCCTCTCTCTAAACCGAACAAGCCGTTCTAGCAAATTTTGTTCGGTATAGAGTGAATCCGGAATACACATTTCTCTTTTTATACCGAACGTTCGGTATATAAAATTAGCCAATCATATGCTAGACACGTGACATATTTTCGATATACGTTTCACACCTTTTAATCTTTGTTGGAGCCTTTTTCTCTCATCCCCAAGCTGATTTCATTAATATTTAAAGTTAGCATTCTTGCAGAGCACTAACTTTTTTACTTTGATCTAGCTTTATTTGAAATTGTCACCTCTAACGCTTTTCCTTTTAAGCCAAGATTATTAAGAGGTATATAGTTTTTATAAAATGTTATCGTATTTCTTTTACATTTATTATTAAAAAAAATAATCTAACTTTAATTTATATGTTATGTCAGCGTATTTGAATGTTAATTTAATAAAATTTATAGTTCCTTTAAACAACTACTTGTGAAAAAAAAATAATAGTATAATTCATAGTTTATATTTTATGATTCTCTTATTACTAATGTTTGTCAAGCTTTACCGTATTCATATCTGTTTTTTAGAGATTACAAGAAACTTTTAGTAGGTTTGTACGTATAAGTGTTACAAAATTTTGAAATTTGCCTATAGTATACTTACGTGATGTATTCAATTTATTCAGATATAAAATAATGAAGATCTAATTGCTTAAGATTTTTTACACGGAATAATCTAACTTTTCTATATAATTTTCTTAAAATTTTTGTCTCTTCTTCAACTTCGCCAAACTCTTCTCCTTGTTCATATAAGAATCTCAAAACTGTGTCAACTGCTATCTCTGCTTCAGTATAATTCACCTTCTCCTTTATTTCACTAATAGGTTGCTCAACTTCATCCTCAGCATCATCAGCTACCGCTTCCAATATATCATCATCTGTAAGACTTCCCACAACAACTGTATCTTCAATACAAATGTATTCGGAGGCACTTAAATAATCATTTTCAGGTAACTGATTAATCAAAATTTCAAGTTCATCTTCATCTCTAAAAAATTCTTCAGTGTTATACTGATCGTATTCATAATTGATTTCTTGCATTTCTGCTTCTTGAATTGGAAGAATACCAGTTTTTTTCCAACAGTTAATGATTGTTTCAGACGATATCATTGACCATGCCTCTGCGGCATTAATTAGTGTATGATAGATATTATATTCTGAAAGCTCTTTTACTATACCATCTTGCAAATCATCATATGCATTTATTCGATTTTGAACAAAAAGCTACTTATACTTGCATTTAAATGAATTAATGATCCCGGCATCACATGGTTGAAGAAATGCTGTAGTATTTTTAGGCAAAAATTCAACTCTTACATTACTAAGTTCCTCATGCGTTTCATCAAGAACAATATGTATCGTGGCATTGTCAACCAATAAGATAATGTTTCGATTTTGTCTTTTCATTTTGGTGTTTAGTTTAAAAAGAATGTTGTTAAAAATACTAACCTGCATTCATGCTTTTTTATTCCAGAAATAATAAACAGGAAGATTATCATAATTCAAGTTTTTCATTGCGCGTGGTGTTTTATATTGATGAATAAAAGTAAGTTTCATTTTTTCAGTTCCAGCAGCATTTACAGCACAAAAAATTGTAACTCTGGCTTTTTCTTTTTTATGACCAGCAATTGGTAAACGTGCTAATACTCGTGAAGGTTCCATTTTCCAAAAAAGACCAGTCTCATCTCTGTTCCAGATATCTTCAAGTTCATAGGTATGAAGAAGTTCTTGTAATTTGATACAATCATTAGCCAGTGATTCTTCAGAGGGGGCACTAGCAGATTCTCCATGTTTTTTAAATGAACGAAGACCACATCTTTTTTTGAAGCCACTTAACCAACCTTCAGATTGTTTAAAGTTATCAATATTTAACTTTTCTGCAAAAAATACTGCCTTCGCTTTAAGAATGTTACTATCAATATCCTGGTTACTTGCAAGTGCATTATCAACCCATAGACCAAGTGCATCTTCTAATTTTGGCCATTTTGGTCTGCGAAACTTTTTTTTTTCTAGTTCAACACCTGAAATAGAAAGCCATCGCGTTTTTTCTTTTAAAATATCAGATACAGTTGATCTGCCAATCTGATAAATTTTTGCTAGTTCATTATAGGTAAGGTGTGGGTTTTGTTCTTTCTGTTCACAAAGGCTACGCTTTTGTATAGCAGTAAGACTAACATGTTGACGAGTTGACATAATCCACAATATTAAAGCAATAATGTATAAACTTTTATTTTTTAGATATACGGTCTAGGTAAATATGAAGAAAAATAATAATTTATGATTTTTAAAAAATTTAGAATCACAGAGAGCTTTGTTCTTTTTATTATTAAAAGGTGTGAGAGATTATTTTCCTTTATTAAAAAGATATTATTTTTAAAAGATCTAACGATTCAAAAAAAAATATTACATAAAATTACTTTGGATGATTTTAACTTAGATATTCTTGATATAGAGTAATAATAAAATTTTGGTGAAGTTCTTTTTGTTCTTATGTGTTTGCATAAGATAAAGAATGTTTAAGTTATTTTATTCTTTTTCAACTACCAAATGCGTTCTGATTAAGTACTAATACGCACCTTTTCTAATTTCATCAAGCATGTATCTTTTAGCAACTTGCTGTTTTTATACAGCCATTGTTTCTTGCGAAGTTATTTGTGGCATGTCTACTTGCGAGTTACATCTGATTAATGACAGATTGAATGATAAGTAACTTGTTATTTTTTAAAAAAAAATTTTTTTGAATCAATTCATGCACTAACTTCTTTTTTAATAATATAGCGCTGCATACAGTACCTTCGGTCTATACAATATCTTTGGGATTATTATATGAAAGATAGATCCTATATAGGGTATACTGAAGAGAGTACCGTATTAATCATGTGAATTAATCATATGTATAATGGGTTCATTGATTTGAACTACTTTATTTAGTACTGGGATACTTTTCAGAAATGTTAGGATTTCCAAATGAAAAGTTTCCCAATATTATGTAAAGTGAATAATTTTCAAGGTGTACTGTATGCTAGCAAGACGTTAAACCTAATCCATTTGTTATAACTGTTGTGTTATTCCGAATAGGATTAATAGAGATATGTTAACTCACTTTTATTCGCATGCATAGCCCTTAAAAATGAGCATTTTCTTATTAAAGGTATGTTTAACCAAGATTACAGCATTAAAATAAGATAGTGAGTGGGAAAAAAAAAATGTATGTATATGCAAGATTTCAAATAAACCTAATTGTTTAATTCATGCAAAAATTTTAAGAAATATGCACGTAGTCTATGTATGATTATATTTTACGCAAATCTATGCACACTTGTACGTACGTACATACGTATTCACATGTTCTTTAGAAAGAGATAGATTGATAGATATGCTGGTTAACTAACAAACAGTAATTATTGAAGAGCTTTAAGGCTTCTTGTGAATTTTAATTAAAATATTGTAAAGAATCCATACTACAGTATTAAGTTATATTATCAGATAATTTCCCGTCAAATAACAAATAAGTATGCTATTTTACTATTTTATAATTTAAGCATGTCGTATAATTTAATTAGAATGAAATTTAATGTGAAATGTGTCAAAAATAAATAAATAAATAAGCTTTTTCGCATTACAATATCGTTAAAAAAGAAAAATCTTTTCCTAATCTCTAAAAGGAATATTAAATGCATTTTGCATTCGCACTAAGTAAATGTCGGTATATAAAAAAATTTTATTTATAAATTAGATCAAATGTACTGCCTATATCATGTTCGGATCTGGTTTATCAGATTTTATTATGATTGTTCGGTATAATCAGTGTAATTATTTATAAATTAAATGTTCTTACCTTTTTTGTTCGAAATAACCAGGGTTCGGTATATATAGGTTCGGTTTAGCAAGAGTTGACTGTATTAGGCTATGCGGACAAATAAAATTGCTTTTGATTATTTGGCTGAGTTACTTTTTTAGAAAAGTTATAGCTGTTTTCATAAATTTTGAGACACAAAAAATTTTGATGGCTGAACTTAGAAACTTATCGAATTCGTTTTCAACTTATAAAAATAGCTGTAAAATTCTTTTATATAAAATTTTTATTTTTATATAAAAAAAATTATAAAATTTTTTTTAAATTAATTTATAGTACATGTAGCTATATTATCAAATATAGTTTTTTATAAGAAAATTTTGTAGCTATTAATATTAGAGTTAAAGTTAAATTAGGGTTTAGTTAGGGTTAGTGCTCCGAATCGGGTCGGGTCAACCCGAAAACCCGACCCGAAATCCCGGGTCGGGTCGGGTTAGAAATATCTGACCCGAAAATTTCGGGTCGGGTTCGGGTTGAACGTCAACCCGACCCGAACCCGACCCGACCCGAAAATTATCCAATTTATAAATGCGCGAAATTAGCATTTTATGTTTTTTTTTGGTTCTAATAGCAAGTGGATATGTATTTTTAAATAATATTTTAAATAAAACAGTCAAGTATGCACCAATCAGATTTCTTCAAACGATCGACACAA